TTTTTTTTTTTTTTTTTTTTTTTTTTTTTTTTTTTTTACTTGAATTTACAAAAACCACTTTGATACGGATATTCGTATTCGAAATACATTCGTCGTGCAGCGACACGTAATTTACACGTAAATTCATGTGGTTTTCATAAAGGAAAAAGAAAAAAAAAAAGGAAAACAATAAAAAATGAGAAAAGTGAAAAAAAAAAGTGAAGAGAATTTTTATTTTTTTTTCACGTGGAAGAAATAAGGTTCTTTCGCACGAAAAAGATTTTCTTCAGTCATTGACGGTCGCCGAGAAATTACATTTTGTAAATTCTGTCTCAACGTTTTAATATCATTCCCCGACAGTGGCTCGAAAATCCAATGTATATACTCTAAAATAGACAGACGAGAAGGAACACAAGAGAAAAATGGAGCTCGTACGACAGTCGATATTTCATTGAAATATCATTTTTCTCGGAAATATCTTTCCTTACAAACTCCATTACTATTTAAAATACTTGTTTTGCCTATCTTTAATTCGAATTTGTCTATTTCCGTTCCGGAAATAAAAAGATAATGGAAATCAGAATAATTTCTCGCGAGTATAAGGCTTGTGGAAAGAAATCGAAGGAATAATCAGATATTTCGATGATCCGCAAATTTTATGCAATATTTTCTCAAGTAGAAATACTTGGAAAATCCATCCTTTTTCCGCCGTCTGGCGGATATTTTTAAATCACGAATGAACTTTCGACCACCATATATTTTTTTTTCTTTTTATCTTGAAACACTTGTCGAAAAATCGTGCACATGTCTCGTGAACATATCGTCTTTCCAAGCAAATTTAACAAAAGTGACATAATTTTATCCAAACTTCTTCATTGCTGGAAGAAGCTTCGTGAGATTAATGGCCATGACAATTAAGCCATGAATGAACGGGAGCGAAAGCCAGGATTAAATTTCTGATTAAGCGCGGAAACGAGAGATTAAGGAAGTTGTAGGGTGCATCTTTTCTTTGGATCAAGTGAGAAGATTAGAATAAACTATATAGTTTATATCTGAACGAGCAAACAGAATATGAGATTTGTGAAAGATGAGGCATTCTCGCGTGGGCGAAAATGGCAAAGTTTAATGTAGATCGAACGTCGTACGTTAGAATTGCAAATAGATCCTTGCGATATAGAAACACCATTTTAAAGAAAAGGAAGATTTAGAATGAGATAATGAAATGATATTTATGCAAGCTTTTCTTCTTCGCCTGCTTTTCATTTTCTCTCTCTCTCTTTTTTGTCTATTTTTTTTTTTTTTTTTCTCCTTTACAATTCTTCGTCATTGAAAGTTTCGATTTGAAAGAGTCATTTTTCATTTCACGCGATGCCACCCTCGCTTTTGTCCCATGAAACCTGCGTATCGATATTCGACTGTCCGATAGAGAATCGCAATAAAAATTAATCAGATTGATCGCGATACTATACGATCTCTCTGCCATTTTAATTTGAAATAAACTTGCCGACAACGAAGATTTCATTTCTCGAGAATATTCGTCGATATTATAATTTCATATCGTTCCTGTGAGAATAATTTCGCAACTTGTAGAGTCTCGTATATATACGTTTCACTCTTGAAAGGAAATATTATCTATTTTTGACGAGTCTCTTGGTTGTTTTAACCCGAGATTTTCTTTTTTTCGCTGTTTCATCACACTTTAAAGGAGAAACTACTCCTTTCAATTTTCTATCTAATTATAAATTAAATATACAAATTTCGATAAAGGTAATATCGTTTTAAGAGATCTACGAATTTCTGGGGAAAGGAAGTTAAATTTCTTCATTTAACTTTCCTCACCTGATCAGTCAGAGCAGTAAGCAAATATTTTTTTTATCCCTGAGTAACAAACGTCAATCGAATTCTTCTTCTTCCGTGAAACGGTGATAATTTGATAAGGTATCAAAAACTTCGTTCCATTCTACTTTAATTGTCAAAAGTTACAGCGTTATGACAACGGTTTTGTATCATCGATGAATGTGCAAATTTCACGAGCATCTTTGAATTTCTTCACTTGTGGTCGTATTCCTCGATCCCATTACTAAGTGAACCGTGAAGATATTTTCGCGTCGCCATCATCCACGTTACATTAGATATTTTTCAACAAAAATGTCTCGATGCCGACACATTGAAGATTGAGAAATGGAAATGGACATCATTTTCCATTCGAATGAACTTACCTCCAATTACGTTAAATTGCATACTTGTTGCAACTTCATTATACCTGAAATGGCTTCCCCCCATTTTCTCGTGTCTCTGCGGTTCCATTAGCTCGAATATTTCACTATCTTATCCTGTTTTGCCAAGCTTTATGCCATTTTAACGCGACATCCCATGAATTACGCTGGATTTATAGCCAAACTTCGAATCACAAAGTTTACGAGCGGAACAAGAGGTGATGTATTTCGTGCCTTGCGTTAAAAGTGGCCGAATTAATTTTAAAAACTATTATTCGAAACTTTTGTATTGAATTGTATTAATTTTTGGGAGCGTAGAAAAAAAAAATATTCCACCTTTTTGCTATATGCATGGCAATTGTTATATCGCGTTAAATTATTAATTAAAATAAATGTACGTATACAAATTGCTCATTAGGGATTGTTAACTGTGTCGTCTCGTAATTAAATATCGAATTAATTTATTTTTCAGTAGTTTTGTTCATTTCACATTTCGTTATGGATAAAATTTTTACGCAATTTGAAATTCTTTTTTACCCTAAAAAAAATTGTATTTCAAAGAGTTAAGATGAAAAATCGAAATGTTTTTACTTGTAGAATCTCGAATAAAATATCTCTTCTTATCTTGCTCTTTGAGAGATTGGAAGGATCCTTTCTTGCGAGCAAAACATCCTATTTTCTAGTTCCAGATTGGTTAATGGAACGTCTTCGATGTTGCAAGTAACCTGTATTCTCGATGTCGTAGACATTCATTCCTCTTCCATTCTCGATACGACGAAATTGAACAGCGGTTTTAGAATGTCAAAAATAAAACGAATGAAATATTGATCTATCGAGCGATTGATTGAAATACAAGCCAGCCATGGAGACGTACGTGAAAGAGCGTGCACAGCTTATGAAAAAAATAATTGCTGTCATCGCGTTTACAAGCAATTAACGATATTATACAAATATTATTCGTCGCGTCGTACACAGAGATTAATTATTCGAAATTGTTTCGGATTGAAACGAAGTGGATTCGTTCGAACGGAAGATAACACCTGTCACATTGTAAACAAAATTGCGAAATCCGATGCGATTAAACGCATAATTTTTAATAATAATTATCCCGACGATGTTAGTGATGATATTCACAAGGAATTACGGTTGCGGTTCGTAGATCTGACGTTGTCATTTGCATATCTCGTGGAGGCGAGCCACGTTGAACGGAAGCAAAACCGATCATCGATGAACCGTGGCCGAAAAATGGATAGCGCGAGTATTACGATTCGAACAACTATTTTAATGGAGTACGCATATTCA